GATGCATGTGAAGACTTCGATGTATGTCACCGTGCAACGTGTCTCACGCACGTGTGAGCACGTGCGTATCGAACACATTCGAATGCATTATCTTGATACTATTAAGTTACAAGTCCGACCAACAAAATTTGCACTAGAGCAACAAATTAGCACATAAATAGCACTAAATGTTTTATGGCGAATTCAATTTGCGATAGTGGGGGTTCCATCTTGATGGAAATACTATCCTGTATCTGTAAACATGTACGATATGTGATATACATGATATAGGGAACGTCATTACGAATTGTCGCTTGCCGATGCCCCCAGGCTTATCGAATATTCCACATACGTTTAACACAGAATCACGATCTCGCTTGTACAACGCGCGTTCTAAAATTATCGCTTTTTCGTTTTGCTTCTGTTAATATCGTTTGTTTAGTTAATAACTTAATCGAATTGCAAACTATTAATCCGCGCGAGTTTATGCAAACTATTAATTCGAACGAGTTTCGTTCTCCTGGATGCACGTGATCAACTCCATCTCGTACAACGCGTAAGTTATAAATGAACAAATATCTCCTCGATTCCTTTCTTCCCGAAAAATAAGCACCACGAACAATACGCGGACATCACTTTCATGCTCGGTTCTTAAGAACCCCGAAAGAGATCCCGAGCTGTTTCCTTTTCTTCTTTCGCCTCGACGATCTCGCTTCAGACTCCGGCGTTTCCTCGATGATGCGGCTTCCGGTATATATCTTCCGCAGACCCCCCACGGATTCATCCCGGCCGTTGCACAGCGTCACGTACACCTTCACCGTACACCTTCACGTGTGTACACCGTACACACACAACCGTACAGCGACACCGGCTTTAAATGTTCCAGCAGCAGCCATTCGTATCGATAACTGCGCCGTTTGTACAGCAACCGCAACGTCAAATACGTCACGATACCCCCCCCCCCGATTCCTCCCCCATTAATTTCAATGGTGAAACCCCCGCGCTGGACTCGCGTTAAATCTTCGCTTCCACCTGGCCTCTTTCGTCGACTCCCGAAACACTTTTCTCGGGATGGCTTCCTTCCTCGGCATAGCAGCAGAACGCTTCCTTCCTTCCGCTCTTTTATTCACCGCCGCGACTCCCGCACTTGACTGCAATCACTTATCAGCGCGTTGAATGTGTGTCATGGACAACCAACAGCCGAGGAAAAAACGTATGCTTTTCATTACTGTTGAGGAAATAATGAATAGTTCTTGGAAGAATGTGATTGCTATGAAAACCAGTGTCAATTTTTTTGAAATTTTGTTGAACCACCCATAGAAATTTACATTTATTTTGCGAACTTAACAAAGAACTACTAAAGTGTTGGAGAATTTGGTTAAATAGATCTGAAGTTAATTTATTGGGGACTATCAAAATAATTATATAAGATACCTAAGCATGATAATATTGCAAAAATTTTTTATGTTCCAACAATGGAATATTTGAATAATAATCATTTTGACGACTTAATCGAAATCGTTTTGACGACTTAATCGAAATCGTATATCTGGTTAAATTTTTTGATACTTCAGCAAAATTGTTCTTTCTTATTATGTATTAACGTGCGCTCCATTGTTCTATAGACAATCGCAATTATTTGTGTGTAAATTCCAGATTCGAATCAAAATTTAACTTCTAAATTTAGTAAATTACTTTTAAAAGATAACCAAGAACGATTAATAAATCACAAGTATCAATAAACTTGAATTCAAATTGATTTTAACAAAGTTTTTTGACACCGCAGCGGACGAATGCGGGGCTGCGTTTTCACGACAAATGCACTTCCGGTCCGATTCGCGCTTTTTGCGAATTTTTAGTTTGCAATTCACTGTCATTAAATGTGCCAGCACAGTTCCGAATAATACCATCTCGTGATTTCAAACCGCTATGCGGTCATGCACGACCGAATAGCCAGTGGATTCCACAGATTTTAGTTTAATTGGCGTCGCTGGAATAATCTCGGGAATTCGAAGTTCTGAGAAACTCGGCCGCGTAAATAAGTCAACTGTGACGGAGCCAAAGTGAAAGAAAAATTATATGAGTATCGATTTATTTTCTGAAAAGAAAAAGAAATGCAATCCGCGTAGTACGCAGCTACTCGCGTAAATATCTGCATTCGGCACTTTCTCGTCTTACATGGAATGATGATATTCACAAAATATGTAAGAAAAAATAATGAAATCGCGGCGAAAGGTTTATCGTCCGGCCAAATATGCGAAATTGGATTAGATTGAAAATTATTGAGCAAATTTTTATAAGCCACGGAACGGCAGCTGCCACCTCTCTTTCTCCTCTACAGTGAATCTTCCCGTTCTCATTTTTCTGGCTTCATTTCGCTTATCGAATTGCCCGGCCGAAGTACCAATTTCGCAGCGGGCGATATTAACTTTCAACCGAGCTTCCTTAACAACTTAGCCTGGCTGCATAAGACGGAAGGAGAAATGGAGAGAGAATTGAAAACAGGACGAGAGACTGACGTCCCGACATCGATATCATCATATATATACATCTCTCATTCGATCCTGACACATCCAGCAGGCACGATCTCTCGTCGAGTTTTCCAAATGGCCGATAGTATCCGACGACGTGCGAAAACGAATTTTTGACATTTTCCGAGATTGACGTTTCT